TTACTTTTTGCTTCTTAACCATGCTGCAGAGTTGACACTACGTTCAGCTAAGTGAGGTGCACTCAAGGTAACCGAAGTCCTCATAAAACAAAGGATGCTTAAGTAGTCTACATATTACAGTAAATTAAAAAAAAAAAAACCTTTGAAAACCTTTACATTTTCTTCCCTCTTTTTTTTTTAGCCAGAATCTCATCTGGTAAAAAAGATTAAAGACATCTTTTAAGTATAAATGTGAGTTGTTCTTATCTGAGAGTAATAAGCCTGGTTCATGAAAACCATTTATAAAAAGGTTTCGCTTATCAGAGACTTCCAAAGCAAACGATCCAACAAGAAGAATGTTGCTGTTAAGAAGCCCAAAAGCCCGAAGCGCATCTGATGGATAAATATTCAACTTCTTTGTCTACAGGCTCTGTGCACTTATACTCTGGTGCTAGTCAGAAAGCTGACATCCAGCATTGGCAAGTCCAGGGCCACCAAATAGCCATAGTAAACTGAGTCAGGAAAATCTCAAAAGGGTTAATTATCAATTGCAGTACTGCCCCATTACATGAATTGACCAATGTTTCCATCCAGGGAAGAGTTACTGATACTCATTCTTCGTCCACAGGATTTTACCAGAAAAACTTTATGCTTTAAATATGACTGAAAAGGGTTATGTGTCAGGCGTGGATACTCCTTAATTCTCTGAATTCTCATTTAAAATACAGACTCAGACACTGGGAGATTTGTGTTTGTTTGTCTTTAATTCATTTCAATTCCCAGGGTACACTTAGCAAAGTGTATCTGTACCTAAATATTGGTATCTTTAATGACGCTTTCCAATGCCCCCACACACAGATATTTTGCATTTCTAATTTGCTTGGTACACAGGCAACCAATGTGCATAATTGAACTGCAAATGGAAGCGTGCTTGCTACTTTAGTGAAATTAGAATTCAGTGAAGGTTATAAAAATATTAAACCTAATATCATATTACAGGAAGCGTAAGTATTTTTGATGGGCCCATAATTTTATCACTTCACCTGCTGTATCCGCTGGCAAACATGGTTTAGAATATTAATGGAAAACTCCCTCATTATTAAACTGCAGTATTAAAAAAAAAATCCACAACCACTAAGAGCTTACTACAAAGACATTTTCAGAAATTATCTACCTTAAAAATATTTTCCTATTTTCCCACCATACGGTTCAGAAAATAGACTTAATTTTGTAAAGCTAGAACAAATGGAGAAATCCCACACTGCCTCAAACAATTTATTAATTCAAGAAGTTCTATTTTCCTTGCATTTGAAATCTCGGGGGGGGAAAATCCAATCTCCTCTTCTCCAATCTCCATTTCAGTGTGCCTATTTTGCTGAGATCTAGATTTGAATAATTCTAAATCATCTCTAGTCCACAGTATGTATCAGAGAACAAGGGGCCAAAAACATGGCATTCTGGACCAATCAATGCAAACAGAAAGCCCCTGCACCCCTCCCTAACCACGCTGCCTCACCTACAGGCATGGCTCCAGAGGGGCTACAGTAAAAAGAGATGAGATGAGCTCCTATGTGAAGTACAGAGTCGAGGATCCAAATCCTAGAGTCAAGGACCAGATCCCAAAGCCACTCTCTGGGAAGGACCACACATTACAGTCTACTGACACAGAAGTTTAGGTTATGCCTGTATCCAACTGTTACCTTACCATCTAAATGTATTAAAGGGAGAATTTTTTTTAAGGACCCTACAAGTGATTTGCCATGTTCTGAAAAAAACAGAATGATGGGTCAGAGCCTGAACTTTTGAAGCATAATGTAAGCATAATAGCATGTTAACCTGAAAGGTAAGAAGAGCTTCACAGGGAATGTCTGAAGGATAGCTAGCTCTCCAGTCTCAACCTGGATCTGTGTCCCTTCAAAACCTTGGCCCTTCTGGGGCCAGCTCCATGGGTGAGTATCATCACCATGTCTACCTCCCTCTCCCCCCTACTTTCCTGTTCCTTCCTCTCTCCTTCCCTCCCTCCTGTCCTGTCTCTTTAAAAGAATGAGTTACAACCTTCCTTAATAGCTAGCACATCCCAAGAGTTTTCAGAACTGGGAAAAGCATAATAGTCATGCCCTTCTCAGGTGTGCTGGAACACTGGATGACAGGCAGGGCAATACCGGTAATATTTTAAGTTGATCTGATGGCCACCTTCCTACAGATTACACCTGAAATGTACTAGCAGTCTTTCACTATAAAACAAATGCATATTACAGAAAAAAGAAAAAACACAAATTTCTTCTCAAAATTAGGAGAGAGCCATACATTAAAAAAATATGGATTTATTTCTTAGAAAGCAATTCAAATATTAGATAATCCACTTTCATTAAAAAAAAAAAAAAAAAACTAGCCAGTTTTGGTGAAATCCAGTAAGAATAACACAATCCCACTGATACACAATGCTTTCAGTTACCCAGTATTTGTAAATATTCTGTGACATAGACACTATTCTCTCCATTTTACAAATGAGAAAACTAGATCCTAGAGAGGTTAGCAGATTGGCCAAAAATAAGCCAACTGGTTAAATAGCAGAGTTGGGCTTCTTGCTCAGATTTCCTGACCTCAAATCCACTGATCTTTGAACAGGGTGGGTGAAGCCAAGCTTGACCATGTACACCTGGGAGAAGGGAAGGCTGGTCTTTGGATAATCTGTACTATCTGTCCACTGGTATACTCCTCTTTCTGGGGACTCTACGAACTCATCAGGATGTCACCATATAGCTGCATTCCAAGAGAACTCCCTGGAAAAGGGTAGTGTACTTTTTATCCCAAGGTCTGCATATCTAATAAATGGTGCAGTGGCCCCTTAGCACATCACCTGCAACAAATGGGGAAGCCTCCTTTGCCGTCTTGAGGCTGTCCTGGAAATGCAATGACATCTGGCTCCATCCAAGATCCCCTCAAGCACTGAGAGAAAAAGCAAGCAAAAACAAAAGTGCCTCTCTCATGTGCAAATATGATCTTGTCTCATCTAGGAAGAAAGTTTGAAGATGCATGGACATTTTATTATGCAACTACTTTTTGCCTAAATACTTGAAATTTTGAGAAGATGGTACTATACATTATATATCCATTCATAAGTGGGACCATCCCCAAACACTGTTGAAGCAGCTTAATATAACAGAAGAAGCGAGGATCAGGAACCAAGACACTGGCTTCAAATACCAGCTATGACATGACCACCCATGCAACCCATGGACATTTTATTATGCAACTGCTTTTTGCCTAAATAATTCTTTCTTATCTGCAAAAGGAAGGCCACAACCACAAAACCTCGGTCTTCCTTAAGTAAGAATCGTAATTCAAAGCAAATGCCCAGAGTTAATTATTGCTTTAAAAAGAAGGTCCTATGATGGTGGAGGAATGGACCTTTCTGAGACACACATACACATATATTTATACTTAATATGAGAGAGCACACTTACACTGTACAACTACCTACTGAGGTTATTTTATTCAGAAAACCATATTGCTTCCCCTATATTTACTGTGAAAATGGGTAATTTTCATCTACTGACAACCTTGCTCAAATCTGATATAGATAAGGAAATCAAGAGGAGAAAAGTGGGAAAAGAGAGGAAATAAAAGATTTCAGCTGCCCTTGATTTTGATGGAAAAAACTTAAATCATACGGATCGTGAGAATACAGAAATGCCAACATCCCAGGTCCCTTCCTTTCTCCAGTATTCTGCAGTTCAAAGAGCATGGGCTTCACAGCCAGACAGGATGCTCCACATCTTGGTTCTGTCACGAGCTAGCTTCGTAACCTCACGGCACCAGTCTCCTCCTTAGTAAAACAGAGGTGTCAACCCATCCCTCACAGGGCAGATAACAGGGATGACGTGAGACAGCATATGTGCACGTCCGGCACACAGGAGGCCCTCAATCAATGCTGGCATCCACCCTCTTGACTTTTCCTGGATAATAACCTGACTCAAGAGTCCAGATAGGTCTTGCAGACTCAGAGAGAAGCCCAGGGGGAGAGCTGGCGTGGGCGCACCATAATGAGAGAAACCAACGGAAGCAGGGAATAAGAGTTTGCAGAAATGATCAGATAATGAAACACCTTATATCTTTCCAAAGAGGTGAATCATTTTCTTTCAGGTGTCAAATGAATAGCCAAATGTATCACAGTCAAAATCTATCATGGAAAAAGCAAGATAGGTACTTATTTCAAATGAGTAGTAGCTTCTATTGATGCAGAAGCCTCTGTGACACTGAGTCACCTGATATTTAAAGGATATATACACACTCCCCCACAGCTCCTCCTTAGCTTCAGAAGTTCTAATGAGCTAAAAGTTTATTCCATTTCTAAAATACATTTAAACTCCAAACCATCACTTACATCTCCTTAATTCTGAAATCCAATTCTCAATTTGGGCACTTCACCAGCATCTTTTCAAAGGTTGGACTTTGGAAAATAGATGCACTCTCAGACAGAAGGGGAAAAAACCCATCAGACATGTACCAAACTGACACCCTTGAATATATTCCAATTTCCTCAGCCCTCATCTCCCCTAGCGGTTCACAATCAGTAAAGTGCAGTGACCAATCATTGGAAATGACATGAGCTTAATGTCAGAAATCATTTAGCTTAAATAAGAAAATAACTTCATTTAGCTTTCTCCCACAAAGTAAAATTAAGTTTGTTTAGCCCTTTTTTATTTATTGCCAAAGGGCGGATTTAATTTCAAGGGAGTGAAAACCAAACTGGTTCTGAAGTAAAGTCTAAAGTTACCACTGCAATGTTGCTCTAACTACTGAGGGACAAAGGCTGTAAACATTAAAAGAAAGAGGCGTTAATTATGGAAAAACAAAAGGTGAGTGGGACCCACTAAGCTTTTCAGTCAGGAAGTGGAGGGTTGGGGGGAGGAGGAGAGAAGTCTATCGTCTTAATGTGCTATACTGCAAATTAAGAAAACTCACTGGTTCTAGGGGCCTTTTGAGCCCACCCTCTGGCCTCAAGTCTCAGAACTTACCAGATACGTTAATTGAGGCCCCTGCATCGATGATCCCGCTGTTGGGCCTCACACAGTACCTACGTGGTGCTGTGGTCTTCACTTTAAAACACACATTTCGGTCTGTCGGGTTTCCAAGCTTTAGGTTGGTGGTGACAACATCGGTGAAGGGACCTGTGGAATGAGACAGAAACTGATTGGGGATTTTGTGAGGAAAGTTTGGAAGACTGACTGGTTTATGAAAGGGAGGGATGTGAGTTTGGTTAAAAGGAGATTTGAGATCCAAAACTATCTCATTAACATGCCAATGGATGGACCATGTGAGCTGAGGTTGATGTATCCGGAGTAACAGCTAATACTGACCACATTCTCACTATTTCACCAGGTGCCAGTAAGTGTCCTAATGTATGGCAGCTCACTGAAACCTCACAACTCTGTGACTGCTGCTGTTTTAGAGACGAGAAAACCGAAGCTTGGAGAGACAAGTTACTTGTCGAAGCTTTCAGAGGTAGTTAGGATCTGTAACCAGATGACCTGAATTCAAGGCCAATTCTTACCTGTGATAAATACTGGTTTCCACAACAACAAGATGAAATCTAACAGAGAGACACTTGGCCCAAAATGATTATCTAGAGCAGAGTGTGCCAAGAGTAACAGATGCAAGAAAGACTTTGAGGTGTTAATGCCTATAAACACAGAAACCCCAACAACTGAGTGCTGAGGTTACAGAATCAGCTCAGTCCTGCTGGGCAGTACACACCTGACACATTACATTCAGCTTTCACTACCCAGGCTACTGGAAAGACTGAAACCAGCTCAGAGCCCTGAGGATATTTTTTATTACTATTATTTATTCATTTCCTACTTTATTAGATTTTTTAATTAAAAAAGTAAAACATGATTCTTAAAACAAACCAAACAATAAAAAATGTATAAAGAGAAAGTTAATAAGATTTCCCTTGTCCCCTGAGGTAACTAATATTAACAATATGGGAGATCTTTCCACATCATCTATGCTTATACAAGGAATACATACAAACATGTGCAGAGGACAGAAGTTAACAAAAATGAGAAAATGCTGCTCTCATTACTATGACATTTGTTTTTTTCCCCTTCATTTACCAATCTATGGTGAACATGTGACCACTGGGTTTATTAGTCAAATGAAAGGGGTTGAATCAGAAAATCTCTTGGGTCTTTTTCAAATTTACATATTTTCCACATGGAAGTCAATATTTCTGTGTTTCCTCTATGCAAGTTCTTTACTCCCATCTATATTTACAAGGAAGCAGAAGATGGAGGTGGGGACAGATACGTACTAGTGTGTTCACAAAGCAATACAAATTTTGGTTCATCTGCCCCCTAAGAAGACCCACTAAAGATATTCAGATTTATACTTTGAAAAATGTCCAATGAGACTCCAAGCTCCTGAAGATAAGCATTACACCTTACCCATCTCTGTATCTCCAGCACTGTGCCTGACATGGAGTAAAGGTCTCAATATATACTCATGAGGAAAAAAAATACCTTGGATTATTTCTAGCCAAATTAAAATCTCAGGCTGATTTCTCTATACTTGAGGTGCTCAGAGTATGAAAAATCATTTTGATATGGGCTTAACTTAAATACAAATTAAGAAATCAATAATGGTGGAAAGGAAGAAGGGAAATGTGACTCAATTTCACAATCTAACTACAGCCAGCTCTGCTATAAAGCTTATTTTGGAAATACAAATTTGTTCCAATGTGATTGATGTGTGCATATTAGAGAGACAATCTGAGCATAAAACGATTTTCACATTTGTTTATGCGTGATTGTGTCTGCAAGAAACACAATAAACACAGAAAATTGTACCCAGCTGAACCTAGCTACACAGAAATACGCAAAACACACATACAACACATACCTCAACCACCTGCAGGACACCTCAGGTCACTCGGGGAATGAGTCACACCTGTCCATGCCTGGCACTCCAACTTTCTGTCCAATTTCAGGTAACCCTCCTTTACACCACAGTAACTCACAGAACACAACTCTTCTCATGTTCACATCCACAGGCACACTATGGGTCTTTTTTCCAGGTAAAGTGTCACATTTGCTGTAGCATTTGCTGTTTTTATATTAGGCCCCTATCTTTGTGTGTGTGTCACCGACAAACCTTGAGTGTTGTCCACTAAACTGCATTTCCACCATAAGCCAGGTGACTTTTGCTGAGCTATTTTGTATACAGTGCAGTGATTTTAGGAATGTGTTGCATTGTAGCAGAACCAACTATACTATTGTATTATCTATGGTTTTGGGGTTAACTATACCAAACGCTATTCTCACTCCATAGGCATTTCACCTTCAAAGATGAACTCCCGGAAAAGAATGTGTCCATTTGCTTACCTGTCCAATAAGGCCTGCCTCTGGCCTCCTGGAGAACTAAACGAGGGCAGGTACCCTGGATCTAGGAGAATTTTCAGCTACAGTAAGGGCGAGCCAGATGCTGATGGTACTGCAGTCTGGCATCAAGTTCCTGGCATCAGGGGAGAAACAGGACCCTTGGTGCTAAGGAGGGCTGGGGATATTCTGGGGCAGCACTCTCTAAGACTACCCTGCACGCTCCTCTCCACACATGGAGACTGACTCACTGTAATGGGGAGAAAGTCTAATCTCTCATTAAGAATATTTGCTTTAAAAAAAAAAAAAGCTA